GGATTTAGCATGAATGCGTTTTTCCTGAGTTTGCTTTAATTCAGTACATACGGATTTCCTTTGCAACACTTCTAGCTGTGGGAATTTCAAGGTTCAGCAGCCACTTGTCCTCTGCATTCGCCAGATCAGCGTTTGAATGATGGCTCTGCCTTGGGAATATGTCTCTAATTTAGGCCCCCACCCAACGGAATATTCCCCTAACAGTGCTTTTGGAAAAAGGGAGATAAATCTTGCCTTTAGTAAAGATTACTGAGAACGGGTTGGACATGTGATCAATATGCCATTGAATTGAATTGCAAGGCGGAGTCTCTTGAGAAAACCATGTGGAAGATGACCCAGGACCATGCATCGGACAAGGTGGTTCGATTACATGGATTAAATTGAATATTAATGATCATCGCGCCTTGGAATCCATGTTTTCGCGCGTGCAAATTCAGCAAAATTGCGGCAGTTCATTGATAGGGTCTCCCAGGTTCTATTCCATCGCTGAAAATTAAGTACGAATAAACAATAAATAACGTGTGTGCAATCATCACTTGAGCCATTTTTCGCATTTGCCGAACATCTCTGCAACTTCGTCGAATTGCTGCGTTGCAATACTTGCTATAATGAGCAAACTACTGCATTGTAGAAGGAGCAGTCGCTCTCCAAAAGTAGTAATTCCTCCGCGTTGCATTATGCCCCCTGGTTGACAGGTAATAGTTTGCAATCCAATGCCAAATCCTTTCAATGATGTAAAGATTCAGAACGACGCTTCTTCCATACTGTAATCGTGGATGCATTTAGGCTTGTGCATATCATACCTAATGCTAGCGATCGGCCATCTCGGTGAAACGATTCGCTACAACTTCGTAAGCAAATATGGTACATCATTTATATCTGCTTTAAACTGTCTCATTAGAAACGCTCACGTCAGTGTCTATGACTACGGCGAGAATATTTTTGCAGTGAGCATACTTTTGATTTCACTCGACCGATTGCTGGTGGTCTTTCAATGGAAATATTACATTATATTGCATACGAAAACCTACTTGAAACTGCAGCTGATCCTCGCTGCCGGAATCTCCGTAGAATTGATTCATGTGTGGATCCAGGCTGCTATGATCAAAACCCTTATTCAGAATAACTGCGATTACGGTGCAATCGTCGGCAAACAGCGCAGGAAGGCTCATCTCTACTGGGTGATCATCGCCGTCTATCTGTCAGTATCGGTCAGTCTGTTTGTCTTGGCGGCGGCTTACGTCAAACGAAAAACCGAAGAGTGTGAATTGTGGAATGCAGAATTTGGCACCACCAGGGCGGTGTGCTGCAGCATGATATCCTGTTACCTCATTCAGTTCCTCCCGCAGTCGATATATTTCCTGACCAGAGGCACTTTGCTGCAGTACGCCATTTTTGACAACTACCTGAGCGTTCTCAACGTCGTCAATCTGAGCGTTTCTTCAGCCGTTTATTTGGTCATGTCAAGAGCACTGTACGCGCCGTTCATTTCTGTATTCAGACGCATTAATTTTCGAAGCACACGCGTTTTGCCCGCCTAAAGGAAGAATTTCCTACCGATCAACGCAACGCATCACCAACTTCGGTGCATAACTAAAGCATCGCAATTATGACTTAAAATTTTTGCTGTCATCATGCAAATTTTGTGAATAATTTTTAGATGTTTAACCACCGGTATTTTGTTCAATGAAACTATATCCATACGTTTTTCTGCAGAAAGCAAATTTTCAAGAAAATCTTCTCCAGACTTCGTTTGTCTTTTGTCGAAGCTCAGATTCTGACACGGGATCGGGAACGTTGGAAGCTCTGCCTGAAGCGTCTGCCTCCGCGACAAGAAACGAGAAGCGGCGATCGAAGATGAGGAAGAAGAAGACGTTCTCAATGAAAACGTATAATCGTTTTCAGTTGCAATAAATAAATGGTCTTCCAAGTCGACTAGAAGCAAGAGGACGTTGTGCTTAGCCCAAGTTGAAGATAATCATAGAAAAACGGCCTCAGTGGTTCCCATCAGCAAGTTAATAGGAACACATCTCCAAATGCGGATTTTGTCACCTCTTGCTCATAGTTCTTTGTAAAGCCTAACAACAAGGTGCAGCCACTGATACAGCTAAAGAATTGAATAAAAGGTTCACAATCAAAGTTATGTAATTAAACAGAATGGAGTCGGTGTCGACTTACATACCCCATAGCCATATAAACATAAAATAGCATAAAAAACTGTTAAATCTGGTTTTAAAAACGTTAAACGCTTAAAAATATATTCCCTTATAACACTTGTGATGCAGAGTGGAAACATAACGAATATCGGCCATAATTAGTGACAATAAAATATTGCTTCAGCAAACAAAATTATCACAGATGCCTCCACATTACATGAACTCAATACCATGGGCTCACTATCTGCTAAATGGTCACCCAGACAACTAGGAGGAAGAACCCGTTACCATGTGCCTTCATCTTCATCTTCCATTGGCACTTCTCCTCTCGGTTCGCGCAGGCAGACGCGTCAGACCCCGCTTCCAATGTTCCCGATCCAGTGCAAGAGTCTGAGCTTAAGCAGAAGACAACTGGAGTCTGGAACAGACTCTTTCCATATATTTGCACCAGGCTAATTTTGACCGTCCCTTGGGCCTTCTGCCGGTCGGTTTCGCAAGAAACAGTTGCTTAGCCTTCCTTTCTGGAGACATTCGCAACA